AGAAGCGAACCTAGAACCCGGATACCCCCAGCCGCTGACCAGCTATGGCCTGGGCATCCCCTACGACCGCATCGACACGGCCATCTGGTGGGAGCCCACGGGCCACACCTTTTTTTTCCAAGAGGACAGGTGAGTGGTATGCACCCTCCTCTAAAGGGAGAAAGCTCCACCGAGAACCCTTACCCTCAGTCCTCCCCATAAACAGCCTCCTGGCCGTGGGGAGTGGGCCTGGCCCAAGCAGGGTCTCGGTCCACACCCTGGTCTTTTGGTCACAGGTACTGGCGCTTCAATGAGGAGACACAACGTGGGGATCCCGGCTACCCCAAGCCCATCAGTGTCTGGCAGGGAATCCCTGCCTCCCCCAAAGGGGCCTTCCTAAGCAACGATGCAGGTACCAAGCCAACCCCCTCCCTACCTGCCTGGCACTTACCGTATCCCTGCTGCACGCATGGGAACTAGGCTGCCTAAGACACCTGGCATGGCGATGGCATGTACGGGGGACAGTTTCGTCAGGCCCATGCATGGCCTCCTGGTCCTGAGTTGTTACCATCCCCTTTTCATAGACGAGTGAGCTAATAAGCCAGAGAGCGTGAGCAAAGCACCCCATTCCATAGCACAGAGACTGAGGGCTCCAGATTCCAACCCAGGCCTGCCTGTGTCCAGCTGCCCACAGGATCCAGGCATCTCCTAAAAACCAGGTTCGGGGAGCCTCGAACCTGAAGGCAGTGGGTTTGGCACAGTGTTGAGAAGCGACGGTTGTCCCAGGGCATCACTTATCTACCTAGATGGGAAGTCTGGTCTCTGCCTTTTTTTTTTTTTTAAGAATTTATTTTATTTTACATATTCTTATATTTTAAAAGAATTGTTAAATTTTATTATTTTTAAATTTGATCAGAGAGAGAGAGAACATGAGAAAGCAAGCTTCCAGGTCTGGGATTCATACCACGGTTGGCCATGTGGGAGTCCAGCACCTTATCTTCCACGCCACCTGCTGACCCATGGTTTCTCTGTCTTGATGAAGCCACAAGGAGAAGGGCTCCTGTTTTTCCACTAAGGTCTCTGGTGCATTTAAGAAAAACCATTAGCTCTGGTTGTCAGGCTCGGGGTTCTCAGGCTCGGGAGACTATGTTTGCTTTGCCAGGGCTCAGGCTGGTCACAGGGCCTCTGCACGTGAGCCCGTCCCTCTGCAGTGCTCTGACCTCACTGCTCAGTGAAGCTCAGCAAACGTGGCCTTTCCTGATGCCAAAGGGATGCAAGCAAGGTGCCCACAGCCAGGCAGCCGGTCCAAGGCAGCCCGGGTTCTGCTCTAGGTCCACTGCAGGTGGCTGTGTGGCCTTGAGCAAGACACAGGCCTCTCTGGTCTGGGACGAAGCCAATCCTGGGATGAGGCAGCAGGGTTCCCTTCCTTACGTCCACCCAGCAGGCTATAGGACCCATCTGTACCCTGCCCCTGTCAGTGACAGCCTGGAAAGGAAACCCCTGACATAAACCCCTCTGGGCCTTAGTCCCACCTTCTGTAGGCTGGGAAGGAGCAGCTGCGAAGATGCCCAGGGAAGCCCCACAGGAGGCTGTTTCAAAGCCAGGGCCCCTTCAGCACCTCCTAAATCTCCTCTGGCCTGCTTTCCCCCACAGCCTACACCTACTTCTACAAGGGCACCAAATACTGGAAATTTGACAACGAGCGCCTGCGGATGGAGCCCGGCTACCCCAAGTCCATCCTGCGGGATTTCATGGGTTGCCAAGAGCACGTGGAGTCAGGACCCCGATGGCCAGATGTGGCCCGACCGCCTTTCAACCCCGACGGGGGTGCAGAGCCGGGGGCGGACGGTGACAGTGCGGAGGGAGACGTGGGTGGCGGCAGGGAGGAGGACTTCGACGCAGGGGCAGACAAGGACGAGGACGGGGGCACCCGCGTGGTGGTGCAGATGGAGGAGGTGGCGCGGACAGTGAACGTGGTGATGGTGCTGGTGCCGCTGCTGCTGCTGCTGTGCGTGCTGGGCCTCGCCTACGCCCTGGTGCAGATGCAGCGCAAGGGCGCGCCGCGCGTGCTGCTCTACTGCAAGCGCTCCCTGCAGGAGTGGGTCTGAGCCCGCCCCCTGCTCCTCACGGTGCTCTGGGCAGGGCTGGGCTGGGCTGGGCTGGGGCCGTGCCTGTGGCTCTGAGATGGCTCCACCTGCACCCCAACAAGAGCCTTTGGTGGCTCCTTCTGCCCCTGGATGGGGGCCCCTCCTGGCCCTCAAAACATCCCTTGTCAGTCCTGTCCTCATTGTTTATTTATGCCCAGGTTTTTTGTTTTTGTTTTTGCACCTTAACTGAGCATTTGTTTCTGCCTTCCTGAGCAAGACAGGGCCTTCGGAGTTTTCTAAATGTAGTTCTGCTCTGGTCGGGGAGTTAGGCCCTGGTGCACCTCTGACTTGACCTCTGCCAGAGGACGGAGGGCAGACGCCCACAGCGGAAGGCTGTGAGGGTTCTTGCAGCCCCAGCCCCTCCTCCTCCTGAGCCCCTAGCCATGCAGGGCCATGCCGTGGCTGTTTGTATTGGAGGATGGTGGCCTGGCTGAATCTCCACCTTAGCTAGAGTCTCCTTCTCAGCAAGAGCTTTCTGCCCAAGAGCAGCCCCAGCCAGGGAGATAGGGTGGGGGCAGGTGGCCCTCTGGCCTGCGAGTCCCCATGAGGCTTGCTTCCTTCCTGGTCCACTCCGACAGCTCCAGCAGCCCTTTCTTTGTGCCCAAGAGCCCAGCCTACCCCAGCCAGGGGGCGGCTCCCAGCTCCCATGTACCCCTCGGGCCCACCCCCCATGCCCTCTGGAGAAGGCACCCTGGGCCCACCTTACCAAGGACCAAAGGGAGTCTGCTGAGCCCCTTCCTTCTGTCCCCACAAGGTAGCACTGGCCTTGCCCCTAGGCTAGGCTGTGACCCACCTGCTCCTCCCCTGGGCCTCATTTCACTCTATCCTACTCATTCTACCCCAGGGTGGTAGTGGCCCTGGTGGGGGGATCAGAGTCCCCCAGCCTCAGGCTTCAGCTGCCCATGTCTGGATCTTGGAAGAGGGGCAGGGGGAGAGGCTGCCCACAGAGTGTGCCCACTTGAGGGGTCATAGTCTAGACTCTGGGCGTGGGGCTTCCTCCCCTTCGGCTGTGTGTCCCCCCAGGGGGCTGGGAGCAGAGAGACTGGCAGGGACAGGCCAGCAGACTGGAACTCTCAAAGGAGCCCACCCTGGAAGCTCCCCTGCTCCCGGGCTCAGCCCCGGGGGTGGAGATACTTCCTTCCCCCTTCCCTTCCCCACCGAGCAGGAGGCCGAAGCTCTGTGGAAATGGTACTGTACAGCTGGCTCTGTCCCCTCTGTGCCCCACGCCTGGGGTACACTGCCCAGGATCCTGGGGGTCGGGGGTTCTGCTGGCCTCTCTGTGGGGCAGGTCCAGAAGCTTTCCCCACCACCTCTGCAGAACCCAGAGCCAGCCGAGGGGTGCGTGTGGGGCCCAGTCCACCCCACGCATTCATGTCTGTAAATAATCTGCACTGATTAAATTGTACAGCCAGCGAGTGTGGCCTCGTTTGTAAGAGGTCTTGGCTGAGTGACAGCTGAAGGGCCTGCAGGAGGCGCGGGGGGTGGGGGGAAGGGGGGCGTCACATCCAAACTAGGATTAGAGGACTTGTTCTTAACACCCACAATTCTGGGACAGGGGTGGGGTGGGAAGGAGCAGGACCTTCCTGATGGCCTTTGGAAATAAGGCTCTGAGGGGAGCAGAGCGTGGGAAGAGTGGAGGTGTCTGTCCTCAGTCAACCAGAAGAGAGACAGAGCACCTGGGGCGCCCTCTGCCTGGCGGGGTGGGCAGGGCCTCGTTTGTAAAGAGTCTTGGCTGAGTGACAGCTGAAGGGCCTGCAGGAGGCGCGGGGGGGTGGGGGGAAGGGGGGCGTCACATCCAAACTAGGATTAGAGGACTTGTTCTTAACACCCACAATTCTGGGACAGGGGTGGGGTGGGAAGGAGCAGGATCTTCCTGATGGCCTTTGGAAATAAGGCTCTGAGGGGAGCAGAGCGTGGGAAGAGTGGAGGTGTCTGTCCTCAGTCAACCAGAAGAGAGACAGAGCACCTGGGGCGCCCTCTGCCTGGCGGGGTGGGCAGGGAAGGAGCGAGTCCCACACACCCTCCTCGTCTAGGACAGGTAGGAGAGTCAGGCCAGGCCACCAGCCCTCCTGAGCCCAGACTAGGTTCTAGAAGCCTGGAGACCCATCCTGGACAGCAGTCCAGAGCCCGCCCAAGGAGAGGCGAGAAACTGAGTGGGCAGGGGGTGGGGTTCCCGTCACCACACGGCTCAGGGGAGGAGGCCCTAAGACTTGCCCTCTCAACTTTGAAGAAGTCAGGGGTCACCCAGGGCCTGTACAGATAATGCCCCAGGACGGCAGGGGACAGAAGCATCTTGCTGGGTGTGGGTCCCGGTGTGGCTGGTGGGCTGAAAGGTCTGCTTTAGACCTCAGGTCCTGTTCTCGGCTGTAGGATCTCAGCCCAACGTGGAACAGGCCTGGCCTCTCCAAGGATAGACAAGGTCCAGCCCCCCAGCCCCAGCCTCCTTGATCCCACCCCTTTCCTCTCTTTGTGTTGAAACTGGCTGAGGAAAGTCGGAAGTGCTGGCCCTCAGAGGCCCCAAAGGCCTCTCAGGCACATCTAGGAAGTGGCCTGAGAGCTTCCCCCACCACAGGAGCCTTGGCAACCAGCTTGAGGGGCCCGGGCAGACCCCATCATGCCGGCTTTCCTGTTGCAGAAGCCCCAGACCCCACCCAGGCCTGCCTTCTGCCTGAAGCCCTGGGGCTGCCCAGAGGTCCAGAGGTCACCAGGCAGGTGGAGGGCAGTGTGGGGCCAGGATGAGGAAGGAGAGGAGGGAAGGCCTCATCAAGCTCTCTCAGAGCCAAGGCCGGAGGAGACTTGGCAAAGGCCTCAGCTCCTCAGGAAGCCGTCCGAGGAGCCTTCCACCAAGCTCCGCTGAGATCCCACAGAAGCCCAGAGCCAAGGAACAGCCATCCCAGAGCCCGCGGTACCCCCACTCCAGGGCTGTGGGTGCGGCACGAGCCCAGGTTGTGTGAAGGTCTCTGAGGGCGTGGGTGATGTAGCAGGGCCTTGCCTTCCCCATGCCCAGAGAGCCAAGGCCTGCCTGAGGCCTTAACACCCCTCCTCAGGGTTAAATAGAGCCTGCATGTCTTGTTTTGAATTTACCAGAGGGCACGTGCTCTCCCAGAGACAAGGAGGGAGAAAGCACCTCAGGGGGAAATGATCGTGTTGCAGGCCCTTCCCCATCTCTCCCTCCTCTCTCCTCCTTTCAGGATTTTGGGCTGCACACACGCACTTGTATCGGCATGTTTTTCAAGAAGCCAGGTGTGGGACTTGAACTGCACAGTTGGATGTTGGGCCTGTGAGATCCAGCTTCCTTAACCCCTGGGCCACAGGTTGACCCCAGAGCCTCCATGACTGTCACCTAAACTCACCTTCAGCCCCATTCCCTCAGCATCCTTTTCCTTTATATTTTGCTAATTCCCAAGTAAGAAAATTAAGACATTAAAGGTGAACAAAAGGAGAAAAATGTCACTATAATTCCCTAGCCGGCTTGACTGTTTGGCCTGTTTCCTGCCAGTCTTTTTTCCACATGTGTAGAGCTTAGAGTTTTAGCCGGAAATATGGCAGGCTTGATCCCTACCGCTCCCAGAACTTACGCTCAGTGGAGGGGATAATGATACGAAACACATATTGTGGGGATAAACGGGGCTGGGGGGAGGCCGGAGGGCGGGGGTCACTATAAAGTGCTGGTGACAGTGCCTGGCCCTAGACTAGCTGTGACCCCAGCCAACTACATGTTCCCCACTTATATGTTACTCAAGAGAAAAGTGGGGCTCAGAGAGGTGAAGTGACTTGGCCAAAGTCACACAGCTAGGAAATGGCCGCACTGGGGCTAGGACCCGGCAGATTGGTTTTCACTACACACCAGCCTCACCCGACCTGGTGTTGCTGGATAACAGGACAGGGACGAGGATGCCCCTGCCCATTGGCCTTCCCTCCCCACACATTCTATGCATGAAGACCCCAGGGCCACCAACAGAGCCTTCTTTCAGGCCAGGGCAGGGGCTGGCTGCTGCTTCCTCCCCCTCCAACTTGGCAGAAAAGCCTTTTTGTTGTGGCTCACACAGAGGCCATTCTCTGGCTCACGGGAAGGAATGGCGGCTTCCTGTCCATCCACAGCCTCCCAGGCTGCAGCGGGATCATCCGCGTAGGTCTGAGAGGAGCAGGGCTTCTTGCTCCTCCATGCCTTCAGGAACTGCCAGGTTTTGCTCCCCACAACCTGCATCTGAGAAACCACACAGGGGACAGAGACCTCTCAGCTATCTCAGCAAATCCTGAGGGTCTAGGCCTCAAGGCCTTTCAGGGCACAATGGCTCCACCCTCAGCCCACTGCTCGAGTGGCCTCTTGACCCACAAAGTGCTGGCAGCAGCCCTTGCTGGGCTGCTTGCCCTGCCCCAAGTGTCCCCTGCACTTGCTTGCCTCTATGTCATTGCTCATGCTGTTCCCTCCCCTGGAAGACCCTTCCCTCCCCTGAAAACCCTTCCCTACAGATTTGCCGCTTATACAATGGGGTTAATTTAGCCCTGCTTGTTCCATACAGTTGTGAGGCTTCGCTGAGCTGATATGCAAACATTTAGAAGAGCTTCTGGCTCGTAGGAGACTCAATACTTAGTTACGAATGTCTCCGCTTTACGGCAGGTACCTGAAGGGCACTGGGAAGGCATCCTGTCTGGGAGCGTTTGTGGGATGGGATCAAAGGTTGACAAGCCTGGGGACAGGTGCCAGAGAGGAGGGACATTCCTGTCCCACCCATTCCTCTCCCCAGCTGCCGAGGCCTCACCCTGCCTGGCCCTTCTTGCCAGACTCTGGGCATGAGGCCCCAGGCTCAGGTTTCCTCTCCAAGCACCCCTGACACCTCCTGCCCCCATATTTTTCACCCACCTCAGTCTTTGCCAGAAATAGCTTCCAAATTCCCCTTTACTTAAGCCAAGCTCTCAGGCCCCTCCTGGACAAATGATATCATTCCCTGCTCAGCAATCAACTGGGGTCCATTACAAAATCATTCTGAGTCAGTGGAAAGGGACAGGAAGGGATATCCTAACAGTTTCATCCAAAAAATGCCCAGCACAATTCGAAAATCTCTAGACTCCAGCCAGACCAACCTCCCTTTATGGATGGGAATGCTGAGGCCTGGAGGGAGATGGATTAGCCATGGCCATTCACTGAGTCATCGAACTGTGTCGCTGGTCCCCACGCAAGACTCTTCTCCATCCGCCCCCATCTCACCCATCCCAGCCTCCTTTCCCCCAGATCTAGTGCCTTCTTCATCTCTCTGTAAGGCGAGGTGCTGGGATGGATCCAGCTCCAGGTAAAGGGCAGTTCTGTGCTTCATGGAGCACATATTTTTCTTTCTTTTTTTTTTTTTAAGAGGTTTTTGCTATAGGGCACGTGCGCTCGCCAAAGAGACAGACAGTAAGCGAGAAATCACCCTGCAGGAGGGATGGCCACACCGTGATCCCTTCTCCATTCTTTGCTCAAAATTTTGGGTACACACACACATGCACCTGGCATGAGTTTTAAACCGCCAGGTTCAGGACTCAGCTGCAGGCAACTATGCGGGAGTCCAGCGACGTAACCATTTTGCCATCTGTTGGTCCCAGTGGAACACATTTTTTTTTTTTTGAGAGATTTTCACTGTAGGGCACGTGCGCTCGCCAGACAGACAGAGAGAGACATAGAGACAGGAAGCGAGAAATCACCCCCCAGGAGGGATGGTCACGCCGCAATCCCTTCTCCTCCATTCTCCTCTCGGGATCTTGGGCACGCACGCACACGCGCCCGGCGTGAGTTTTAAGCCACCGGGTCCGGGACACGAACCACGGTCGACTACGTGGGAGTCCAGCGACATAGCCATTACGCTAACTGCTGGTTCCCTGGAACCTATTTTTCAAGCCAGTTAGTGAAGAGCTCTGTCTTACAGCGCCCTCTCTCTGCCCATAGGCCCCCATTATCCTGCAAGAACAACGTCTCCCTCTCCCTCAGCCCATGGATTCGGATAGAGCTGACCTCACTACCCTGGTGGCTGAATGAGCTTGTGACCCAGGACCAGTCGATCAACACCCTCATGAGGGTAGGCAGGCAAACCAGCCTGGCTTATCAGGGCCTCCCTGTGACTTTTTCTGGAACCCCTGGGTGAAAGAAGCCCTGTCTCTGCTGGGAGCTGCTGGGAGCCTAGAGTTATTGATGAGTCGCCTTGCCACTTTGTGGGGAGACCCTGCCTCAGGGCAAGGCCATCACAGGGAAAAACGGAGCCTTGAAGAGGTTCCTGGAGTCATTATTGGAGCACCAGATCCAGCAAAACCTGAAGCTTGAAAGCCCTAAGCTTTTTAATAATATGTCCCGATCAACTCCCTAGCTTCTTAAGCCAGTTTCTTAAGCCAGTGTGAGATGTTGTAGGATTTTATTTACAAAGTTTTCTCTTGACTGATGC